ACCCGGAACTGGAGAGGAGGAACCAGGGATGGTGCGTGAAGCCGGGAGTCGGAGGGCCGAGAGCAGGGCTGCAGATGCACCGGGTCTGTGGGGCCGGCCCCCTCCCCTCTCTGAGCCTCCTGCCCTCGTTGTGAATGGGAACCACAGTCCCCTAGACTTGCCAGGTAGAGGACACGCGATACATGTGAATTTCAGATAAACGGCGCTCTGTCTGGGGGTGAAGGGTGGGGAACCCAGAGCTGGTCTGGGAAGAAACCCTTGACGGAGCTTCCCCGAAAGCCCAGCGAGCACCACTGATGTTCACCGCATTAGTCCCCTGGGAGGGAGGCCGGGTGAGGTGGGCCCCTATTCATCCTTGGCTCCATGCCCCAGTCCTTTGGAGCCAAGGTTATGGAGGGCTGTCTGTTGGAGGCCTTACCTCCTGGGTCCCTCCCCTCCCCCCAGGAATGTCAGGCCCGCGTTGTGCTAAGGAATGCACCTTTGTTCTGAGCAGAGTCCTTCCACTTTGTCAGCTTCTCAAAGGCCTGGACCCTGGGAAGATCCCCGGCCTGGGTTGGGTGGGGCTGGACAGCCCTGCGGCCACCTCAGACACCACGTGCCTGACTGATACTAGGGACTATAGGAGGTGGCCCTGAGTCCACAGATGCCAACACAGGGGCTCCGCTGGCCTGTGCTCGAGGGGCTGAGGGTGGGCAAGCCCCAGGCGTCCTGCCCCCAGTCCAGCCTGTTTCTCCCCAGGTTGCCGGTCCTGCCAGAGGGGTGCCGCCTGAATGTCACCTGCCCATGTGAGGGTGGGCCTCAGGGTGCCAACTGCAGCTGCCAGGAGGGCTTTGCTGGCCAGAGGTGGGTTTGGGGCGGGGCCTGGAGAGTGCCGGTGAGTGTGGAGAGCTGGGCAGGTTGGGTAGAGTGGGGTACTCACCGTCTGAGTCCTCACTGTCATCACATGCCTGACAGCCCCCCTCGGTCACTTTCTGGGGCTTCCACCCTCTGCTCTGCAGACCCCTGCAGGGAAGGGGTGGCCTGGTGGTGTTTCTTGGAGGCCCTTGCACAGGCCAACTGCGCCAGGACCGCCTGGGGAGGCTGTGAAGGTGCAGGTTCTGGGCCCGCTGCAGCCGGAGTCAGCATCCCCGGGCCTTTGCACAGGCTCTCCTGTGCTTCTGGTGGAGTGAGCCCTTCTCAGTCATGAATGCGGGGGCAGAGGTGGCGGGCAGTGATGGAGATCACGTGCAGCCTCGGCACTGGGCTGGGCCCAGCCAGGCAGGGACAGTGAATGGATGAGCTTCGGTGCCTGGGAAGGGCGTTTGAGGAGCTAAAGGTGGCAGCTGGGGGAACAAGAGACAGCAGGGAGGAAGCAGGTTCCTCCCCTACTTTCTTCTCTGCCTCCCAGGTGTCAGCTCTCCTGTGAAGCCAACCCCTGCCTGAATGGGGGCACCTGCCGGGTGGCTGGTGGGGTGTACGACTGTGCCTGCAGCGCAAGGTTCTCGGGCCAGTTCTGTGAAGTGGTGGTGAGTTGTGCCAGAGGGTGTGGGGTTTTGGACTTTATTAGCTGATGTGGTGGTGGTGGCGGGGGCGGGGGCGGGGGGGGGGGGGGGGAGGTGTGCCGCCACTGGGGCTAGCCCTGGACCAAACCTGTCGTGGGGGGGGTTGCACCAAGGGAAAACCAAGTCCCTTCCATGAACCCCACCCAGGAGGGATTTTTCCTCCCGGGAGAGACCGGAGGTCCCCACCATCCCCTGGGGGCTGGCAGTGAAATAGTTGGGCTCCATCAAGCCCGATTTGGGGCAGGATTCAGAACCCATAGGATCTTGGAATTCAGGGATTTAGGTTGGTGAACACAGAGGCTGTAATCTCCGGGGGCTTCTAGAGTAAAAAGATTTGAGGAGCCCAGGTCTGAGCCAGAGTGAGCTTGGCCCCTGACCCCAGGACGCTCAGCTGCGGAGGGGCCCACGGGCAGCTTGAGCTTGAACCTCCCTCTGGTGGGCTCCCCACTAAGGGGCGGAGCTGGCCCTGCAGGCATGAACCCACAGTGGGTGCTGGCTGCAGGGGAGGTGGGCAGGGAAGGCTGGGCTGGAGCCTTGATCTCCGCAGGCTTCTGGCAGCCTAGGTCATAAACCTGCAAATTCCCTCTGCTTCTGGGGACTGTTTCCTTTCAAGTGGAACTTTACAGCCTCTGGCTCCCCCACCCACCTTCCCAGAGCCCCGGGAGATAATGGCTTTACAACTCCCCCAGAAGTGCCTGGTGGCGGCTGGTGAGGGCCCCCTTTTATCTGCAGCCTTGGACCCTTCTCCAGGGCTGGGTGCTGGGCTTGGGACCCAGGTCACCGGGGCCTGAGAGGGAGACCTGTGGCTCTGGAATCCTGGGTTTCTGTGATTCCGGGACTTCAGAATTCCAGCCTTGCAGACTCCTTGATGGGGAAACCCTGGGAGACTGGGGAGACGGAGAGGAGGGCCCCCCAAAGCCTGGTCTAGCTTCCATGAGGGGAGGGGGAGCAGGCCCTGCTGGATTCTGCGCTCGCCATCAGCCAGTCAGCCTCTCTGGCTGTTGCCTAAGATTCTCCCGCTTTGGGGTTAAGCCTGGTCTCCATGGTCACTGTCAAACACCAGGCCACCTTCAGGATGGGGAGGGAGCCAGTCCCCATCGCCGCAGCTTGAATGAGTTTGTCGGGAGGAGGAGCCACATGGCAGGGCTGGGCACTGAGGCCCACGCTGGCCAGTGACAGAAGGGCCTTGACCAAGATTTGAAGCTGAAGGATGGCAGCGTGTTGGGGGCAGACGGAGAAGTGCCTGTCCTGGCTTGCCACCAACTAGTCACGCGTCTGGGGAGTCTGGGCAAAGCCTGTTTTCTCACCTACTACCCACCGAGGGCCTACCATGCAGGCCCTGCTCCCAGCTTTTTGGGAAACACCAGGGAACAGATAAACCAGACTCTGAGCTCCTGGAGTGAGGAGTGCTCTCCCTGCTGCCTCACCACGTGGTGTGAGGCTTCCGTGAAGTCCAAGCACTGTGCTGAGCTCGGACTGGGTGGTCAGTAAACGTCTTCTCTCCTTCCAGCCAGAACCCCTGTTATATAGGAATCTCCTGGCAGTCGCTCTGATGGTGGCTCCCTGGCACCTGCTTGTATACCCCCAGGGCCAGGTCTCCCACTACCTCCCTGTTAGCTCTCATTTCCTCTGAGCAAGTCCTGTGCCCCCTTTGCTCTCTCCTCCCCGCCTCCCTTACCTGAGGCCTCCTTGTCGTATCTCTTGCAGAAGGACCTGCCGCTGCCACTGCCGTTCCCGCTGCTGGAGGTGGCAGTGCCTGCAGCCTGCGCCTGCCTCCTCCTCCTCCTCTTGGGCCTCCTCTCAGGGATCCTGGCAGCCAGAAAGCGCCGCCAGTCAGAGGGCACCTACAGCCCGAGCCAGCAGGAGGTGGCCGGGGCCCGGCTGGAGATGGACAGTGTCCTCAAGGTGCCGCCCGAGGAGAGACTCATCTAGGCCTGGCTGCCAGCGCCAGCACCTACGAGGCCACGGACAGTTTCCATCTGGATACCCTAGGAGGCCGCTTCCAGGAGGCCTTTGGGACGTGGCTGCCCCTTCCAGGCCTTGGGAGCTGGTGTAGGGCCCAGCATACCTGCTGGGAAGTGTCCCCTCTGCTGGCACCCCCTGCCTCTGTCCCACCGTGGACTGAGGAAAAGGGGGGCACTCAGGGCAGCAGAGAGGGCCTGGCAAGGCTGGACGAATCCCTCGGACCCACCAGGCCTTGCCTCAGCAGATATGCAGCTGTGCAGGGCAGGGCACACGTGATGCACAGGGTGTGTTCAGGAGTGTGTGTGTGTGTGTGTGTGTGTGCACGTGCACACACGGTATGGGTGTGTACCTGGGGACTGTTGATCTACAGATATGGGTGTGTGCTGGACTGGGCTCGTGGGCGTGTCCACGTCTTTGCTGTGTGTGCAGGTGACTGTAGTGGGTGCAGGCCATCCCACGAGGGGACGGCTGGGCGGTTGGACCTTCACCGCTCGGGCAGGGGCAAGCCAAGGCCGCACACTCTCGTGGAGGCCAGGCCAGGGCTTGCCCAAGGACCAAGGCCCCAGTCCCAGTCTCCCTCCTCTGGAGGCAGCTGGGGAATCAGGGAGGCCATAGCCAGCGGCCAGGTGCTCCTGGCTCCCTGAACAAATGCTGCTTCAGGACCTGTCTGCAGGAACAGACCACAGCCAGGGCAGAGGAGGCGCGGAGGCGGGGATGCTGCTGGTGTCTGGGCCAGGCAGCCTCCTCAGGGCCTGTCACCTGGAGAGGGGAGAACAGCCCCGCCCCCTCCCAGGCAGGAGACCACTCCTTCACCTGCAGCCCAATCGCTAAAGGCTTCTGGGAGGACCCAGGGGAGGACTCGAGGGAGGCCCTCGGGTGTGCTGGCGCCGCCTGTGTCGGCTGGTCTTGCAGTCACACATGCAGGAACGTTGCTTCCCCTCTTCTCGGTGGTGCCCTCACACTGGGGCCTCTGATCCCCGGGGGATACCTACCTGCCTGAGTGCCTGGCCTCCGCAGGGCTTCACAGCCCTTTCGTCCTGCCTGTGTGCCAGGCCAGTGCCTCCTGTGCCAGTGTGCCAAGGCCACTTCTGGTACCAACCACTGAGCCACAGCACTGCTGTGGTTAGGATTTGGCCAACCTTTGTTCCTAAGATATTTTATGTGGAACCCCAACATATAAAATCTGGGCCACTCTTTTTTGGGGGGAGCCCCATGGTTTCCTTTTGCTCCTAAGGCACCGTCATTCTCCAGGCAGCCTGGGGCGGGGGAGGGGACAGATATTAGGGTGTGCTTCTCGCCCACTCGGTGCATCTCCCTTTCCAACACCGGCAGAGCTGCAGGTGCCAAGGTTCCCTCGCTAGTGAGATCTGTGGAGGCGACCTCCCGATATCCCCTGAACGTGTTCCTTCCTGGGCACCCTCTACACAGGTGACCCGCAGCCCTACTCCGACCCAGCAGGCCTGGGACCAGCACACCCGATGCCCTGCTTGGGAGGGGAGAGGCCTCAGCGGCCCGAATGAGAACAAGCTTGGGAGTGGGCCAGGGCTGCCGCGGTGACCACCGCCGCCACAGGAGGGGTCCTGAAGATGGCTGAGGCCTCCCTCCCTCCCTTCCTCAAGGACACAGGGTACCAGCCTTCTCCCCAAGGAGCTTTTCTTGAACGCTCACACGAATTTCCTCCTTTGGTTTGCTCATGGGAACAAGGAGCAGCCACCAGCCCCAGCGCAGCCAGAGATCACGGGGTGGGCTCCGCTCCTGGGACCACCAGTACGGCTTGACTCATTTGCCCACCAGGTGGGCTGCCCTGTCCCCAACGGGGTTCAGAACTGGAATCTACAGAAACACCTGAGTGTCCTGGCGGTACCCGCAGCCCCACCTGACACACCTCCCACCGCTCTCCCAAGCAGCTGGGAGATTCAGAGAAGACTTGCCTGAGGGGCCATGGCTGACTCCAGAAGGAGCCGTGTGCGGGACCAGCAGCTCTTCACACCCCTCGTCAGAGCGAACCTCAGGGCAGGCCTCACCCACCCAGGGGTGGCCTCCCAGCCCCTCAGTCACCAACAAGGCTCCCTGAGGTTCTGGGGGCTTCCAGAGACCTCCTTGCCCCATCAGATACCTCTGAGACGGTCTGGCCAACACAAATAGGAAATGAGAAATCAGGTCAAAATGCTCACAATTTCCTGCATGTCTCAGATGGTTGTTTTCTTAAATGTTTGGGTCACATTTCAACTTGGTTTATTGAAACTAGTCAATTTCAAGATTCATTAAATCAATAAAGTAAAAAGGAAAAGAAAGAGAAACAATAACAAAACATTTCAATTTAGCTTTGGTGACATTGGCCTCAGGAATTTCTTTGCTGGCGAGACTGCGAGGGGGCAGGGCGGGTGCTCCAGACCTCCTCCCTCCAGGCCGCTAGTCCCTCCCCAGGGCCTGGAGGAGGGCGCAGGGCCCGCTCCTTCCTGACCCCGGGCAGTTGTACTCCTGGGTCAAGCTTGGCCTTCCAGTTGGAACGGTGCCTGCTGCTCAGTTCTGCCCCAACAGCCCCAAGACAAGAGGCTGAGCCCCATTAGAAATACAAGACCAGGAGAACCCACAAGGATCAAGGGAGATCGCCGCCGGCAATGGCCCGACTCCAGCTTCAGATGCATTCAGATTAACCTGTCGCTATTTTTCCATCTACCAATCAGAGTTGCCAGCCCACACAGGGCTGGCTGGGGCTGGGGTTGGCTATCCCTAGGGATCTCAAGGATCCCTCACCCCCAACTCTCAACCAAGCCAGAAACAGCTGAAGTTTGGGGTGAAGACTCACAAAGAACCAGTGTGTGTATTGCTAGAGGGTTGGAAATGCCCCGCCAGTCGCTCCTACTTCAAACTCCAAACCGTGTGTCTCGTGCAGACACACTCAGGCTGCGGGTACACTGACACCTGCGCCTGTGGTGGTGGGGTGTCCAGGGCCGGCCAGGCAGGACCGAACAGGGCTCGGGAGGAGAGGCCTGGAGGTTTCCAGAGGGAAGGTGGGTAGGACTGGCCTGGGGCAATCACTGGCCCAGCGGACCTTTTTAGTGCAAAACCCAACAGGGGTGCTGGGGAGAGGTGGTGGCAGGCGGGCCAGAACTGGTGCCTTTCTCCAAAGGCCAGACCTCAGAGATGGGCATGTGGAGGGGAGGCAGAGAGGGTCCCATCCCTCCTCACCAGCAGAGCCTGGGTAGAACAGAGCGGCAGGAGAAGCAGGGCCTCTGGCCTGGGAGCTGGGGTGGCGACAGCCCTGCTGGGCTCGGCCGCCCAGCCTCAGTGCCTGGCTCACTCGAAGGTCTCCCACTGCTTCCTAAGCTGTTCCACCGAGCCTGGGGTTGGGGCCGGGGCCGGGCTCACGTCTTGCTTGGTTTTCCACAGCAAATCCTCAAAGGGGTCTCTGGCCTCTTGAGTAGCAGAGGGCTGCAGTGCTGGCTCCAGGCCCTGGGCAGGTCTTGGAGGAATGAGTGGGGGGTCTCCAGACCTATGGGCCAGCCCCTGCTTGGCCTCAGCAGCCCTGGCACTTGAACGGACCAAGGGCAACGTTCGGATCCTTGAAGGGGCAACTGTTGGGGGGCCCAGTGGTTGTAAGGGACTGGTGTGGGCACCCATGGGCATCTGGCCAAAGAGATTGGGCATAGAGAGGGCAGACAGGTTGGGCTGAGATCTATGTGGGGGGCAGAAGCCAGAGGTGGACAGTAGGAGGCTGGGGGCAAAAGCTGGCCCCAGGGAAGCAGGAGGGGCCCCGAAAGGCCTGGCCGGCGTGGAGACCAGGGACATGGCGGGCAGTGCCGCTGGCACAGATTGGACAAACGGGTTGAGCGATGGTTGTGGAAATGAGGTGGGGGTCCCCGCGGGGGGGAAGCTGAACTGGGGGGTGAATGGGGTAGCTACATTTGGGGCTGTAGGGCCTGGTGGAAGGGTACTGTCCGACCAGGATGTGCTAAGGGGGTCCAGGAGGGCCAGCAGGGCATCACTGCCAGTGGCCGCAGACCCTGGGGCCAGGCTGAGCGGCTGGAGCGGTTTGGTGGGGCCTTGGGGGGCAGCACTGGGGAGCGGGGCTGTGCGCCTGTCCTGCTCGGCCTGCAGCCACTCTGAGGAGAAGTCACCGAGGGCAGCACCGGCGGCCGGGAGCTTGGCTGGGCGGGCAGTGGGAGGCGGGGGCATGATGCCCAGCTCCGGGGTCTTCCTGCCCTGGGGCCGGGGAATGGTGATACTGCCCGGAGTAGGGGCGGGTGCCGCCTCCTTGTTGCCGAGGTCCAGGATGCTGTCCTGGTTCTGGGGTCTGTGAAGCAGGGCCGGGGCGTTCCCGAGCAGGGCTGAGGGCTTCTCGGGAGAGGGGGCCTGGGGCTTGCTGCAGATGGCCATGTCGTCCTGGCCCAGGCTCCAGAGCTTGTTGTATGGGTGAGCGAGCCTCAAGGCCAGCGGCATCCCACGGCTCCGGTCACTCCTGCCCAGGTCCAGCCTCTGTCGGAGGGAAGGGGAGGCAGTGACCACAGGCTGACGGGACAGACGGGAAGGCAGCACACCCCCACCCCACCCCTCCTGTGTGCTGGGCAGGGGCCGAGATTAGGCGCCTGGGACTCAGCCCCCCCTCCCCCCCCCCCCTCACCAGCAGAGAGCCCCGGGCAGGCTGGACTCCAAGCCCAGAGGCTCTGCACGGCGCGAAGGGTCCCCTTGTCCCTTTATGCCGGGGTTGCCAAGTAGTTTTGGGAAAAATGACTCCATTCACTGACCATCACCTGGTCGGGCCCTTTTTACTTTTCAAAGTGTGTGGGCACTTTCAGTCACCTGTGAGCCCAGGAGGGCGAGTGAGGGTTAGGGCCTGGGCGAGGGCACACTGGCTGGGGGGATGGACTGGGCTCAAGGCCCCACTCCACCACTCCCCCGCTCCACGGCCTGGCCTCACCTCCCTTCTCTTGGCCTGAGGGGCGCGTGTGAGTCATGGATACAGGAGCTCAGTGAGTTCCACCCTGTGACCCAGTCAGCAGCCCCCATGGGCCAGTGAAGAAACAGGCACGGAGGGGGGATGTGACAGGGTGCAGGTCACAGTGGAAGACCAGTGGTTGCACACAAATAATCCAGGACCCAGAAGTTCTGATCCAGAGTCTCTCCGGGAGCCTTCCCTGGTGGGGTGCTGGGGAGAGCGGCCTGGGGCACCGGCCACCTCTCTCTGGTGCACAGATGGCAGTGGGGCCGACTTCCATCAGGCCTAGCATCTTCCCCAGTGATCACTGAGGGGTGGTGGCCGCTGGCCCTCCTGGCAGGGTTTGCAGTGAGACTGACCCTGAGCATTGGCCGAGGGCTTTGGAAAAGTTTCTCCCTTTGACACATGGGGGACCTGCGGCAGGTGTGAAAGCTCCAGTCCCAGCAGGCCCGCCCCCGCCCCCGCCCCCACCGTACCTGATAGTCAAAGGTCCCTGACTGTTCCCTCAGGTCTTTGGGAGTTCGAAGGTCCTCCAAGCTCTTGGCCTGGCCCAGGGGCTGCAG